ATATTCACTAAATGTCATAAAAGGCCGATATGCCATTTAACGCATATATGGCCGAAGTAGCAGAAGTGACATAAGTGTCATAAGTGCCATAAGTACCATAAGTGCCATAAGTAACATAAGTGCCATAAGTAACATTTCTGTTACTTTTCGCGTGACCTTGGATCGGGTAAGGATCTTCACCCCGATTCGGGCACCCATGACCCCAAAATCGGGCTCACATTTCTCCCTCGTTTATCCTCGAGTTCCACGAGATGCCTTCAATCAATTGACTAAATTCTGGCGCAATTAACCGTTGAATATCTCCCAAGATCAAGTTCTTCATATGATAAATCTGGTCTAGGCCATACTTGAGGAAGAGGTCGTAGGTCTGGACAGAGATGGTTCGAAAGTGTCGGGTGACCAGTTCTCGAAATTGCCTTTTGTTCGATGGAGTTCCATGCGCAAATAGCATACCCAGGTGGTAGGCATATATCAATGAATCATGGTTGTTCTGGAGCTGAATGGTTCTCGTCAGGTAATTATATATGGTCATCACATAGGTAGCAAAATCATGTGTCATTTTAAAGGGCGGAGGCGTAATTGTGATGTCGAACAGGTATGGTTAGTTAAGGTCTTCCATGATCTCATCCCACATAAGCAGCATTGTTTTGTTTCTTGAATAAAAGCTCTCTTCTCATAATTTTAGCTTCTTTTATCCTCTTCTCTTCATTATATATATAGATAAAAATTATTATTTTTTTTTTCCTATCCATTCTCCTCATCCTTTCTGTTTGTATCCCTTGTCATGCATGTTCTACATTTATCTTCTTGCATCATTTTCCTTTCCTTTTCTTTAATTTCTCACATCATGCTAAGTTTTTTTTTTTTTTTTTTTTTTTTCTCACCAGATTAGATTTTTAGGTCGATCGATATATGGTTTAAGTAATTTGATATTGATCAGTATTAATAATATTTTGCCTTCAACAGATCATAGTTTATACACATTTTCGAGTAGAACTTTGTAGATATAAAACAGTCCTTTCCATTTCAGGGCCAGTTTACGTTTCGATTGTATTCTTTCAATACTTTGTATAACTATATCTTATCGGCTATGAATAATTTTGGAGAAGGCCTGATCTTTTTATCATAATAATTTTTTGTCTTTGTTACACTTTTTGAACCTGTGTCACTGCTTCTTGTCTGATAAATGATAAGTTTTCTAACAGTTGGAAAGTTCTTTATACTATAGTCCCTTCTAATATTTCTTCTGTTTGGCTATGTTCTATTGGCTGTTGAGTCTTCTGACCATATACTAGGTAGAACAGTGATATCTTGGTAGTTGAATGTGATGCAATTCGATAGACAAAAAGTACAGCAGTGATGACCAGGTCCCAGTCTTCGATGTCTTCGATGTTTTTGGTAATCAATTCGCATAATGTTTTATTGAAGCATTCTACAAGACCGTTCGTTTATAGATGATACAGAATGAACAGTAAGTGTTTTATCTTGAATTTCTTTAATAATTCATCTACTACTTTATTTCTAAAGTGCATGTCATGGTCAGACAACAACTTCTTAGAACATCCATGACAGCATACAATTTCATTGAATATGAAGTCGGCAATGGTCTTGGCATCAGCAAACTTGATAGCTTTTGCTTCAGGCCATTTAGTCATGTAATCAGTGACAACAACAATGTATCTCTTCGATCAGAGGATAATCAGTAAGGGTCCTACTATGTTGATCCCTTTTGGTGAAATGGATTAGTCACAAGAATAAGTTGTAATAGGCTACTATACTTGTTTCTTCCTCATTTTTGGCATTGCTCACAGAACCTAACATAATAGCAAATCTGTTTATATACCTAGAGCCAATAGTAACTTTTGCGAATTTTTTCAAATATAGTTTCAATGCCTAGGTGCTCTTCTAATGGATGATTATGCATTAATAACAATATTGGACCAGTTTCATATTTCTGGACTACTCTCAACAGTTGTTTCAGTTAGTGCTTGTTTTTCTTATAAATTATCCTATTCTTTAGTATAAACATTTTACTATTATTTACCAATTGTCTTTTTGCTTTCTTATCTAGGTCTTGCAGTATATGTTGGTTTTGTAGGTATTGCTAGAGTTGATTGTACCTAGTAGATTTCATCTTGTCTTCTAATACCAGGACACTGACTACCTGGGCTGGATTTTTTTTAATGTCAGATTAGAGTTTGGAACTGGTTTTATTTTTTTTATATTAAATCTGATTAAAACCAGTTTTAACATAAGAAAAATAAAACTGGTTCCAAACACTATGTCGGATTTGTGGTTCTGCCTTTCTAGTCATGTTTCTTTTCCTAATTCTTACTAATTCAGCAGCAGTTCAATTGGAGCCCCACAACCTGCTCCAATACATCCTAATTTTTCTTAAATTCGTTAGATCTGCGATGCACACATTAAGATTCTATTTATGAGGCGACATCTTCTTTTTAATCAGTTCATATTCTATATCTATTCTCAACTAACTAAAAAAGTTTTTTTTTTTTTTTTTTTTTTTTTAGGAGTCTATTTATATAGTTAATTCGTCATGCTCCTCTTGGTCTTTTGAGTGATCTCAGCCTTATCTATTGACCATGGTCAGTGATTCATTTTAGTATCATCATTCTATGACTACAGATGTCCGTAAGGATGTGTTTGAAATGGTTTTGTGCATGGGCTTAATGATTTCTCCAAACGTACATTGTTTGCATTCTTCTTTAAACATAGCTTCATCTTCCTCGATAGGACTAGTGTCTTGAACTGAGCAAAAAATTTTCAACCATCTAACTGATTAAAGCTTAACTGAATCAATCGGTTTAACTGAAAATGGTTCAGTTAGTTTAGTTGATTCAGATTAATTAAATTATTTGATTAACTGAGTTAGTCAAATTACTCAGGTAAATTAGATTAACTGAATAAGCCAGGTTAACTGAGTTATCCAGATCAACCGGTTAATTGAATTAACAAAATTAATTAGCTAATCGATTCATTTAAGCTAACTAATTCATTTGAGCCAACTGATTCATTTGAGCCAACCGATTCATTTGAGTCAACCGATTTATTGAGTCAACTAATTCAATAAAAGTTAGTCGATCAACCAGAAATATTAATATTTAACTTAAAGAATACAATTACTTAAAATTTTATTTATTTATTTTAATTTATTTATAACAAATTGATATGTTGATAACATAAACTTATAAAAAAATTAAAAATCATTCAAAAATTTAAAAGAAATTTTTTTTGACATTTGAGATTCCAAAATTATCTTTTTTGTATCTATGAACTTGTTTACATATTTGTAATTCATAAATTCTGGTAAGAAGATTAATAATTCTTTGCTAATCTTATTGGAATTCAAAAATTGTTTTTTAATTTCCAATTTGTTAGAACTTTTAATGCTTTCATTCCATCCTTTAAGTATGCTGATTATTCCTTCAGCAGAGGGTCGTTTTTCTGACTTGGAATCCATACATTGGTTTGCCAATTCAATATAACATTTGGGAGTTCTGAAAGTGAATTCAGGTCGTAACCCCTTACAAATTTTTATTGCAAGTTCGATATTATATGATTCACTAATGAAAGGTCTTTGTCCAGTCGATATTTCCCATATAATTATTCCAAATGAATAAATGTCTGATGCTATTGTATAAGAAAGTTTTTTTAGAATTTCTGGTGCAATGTATAGTAAAACACCACAAACTTCACTTTCTATCATATTTATAGTTGCAAGTTCTAAATCATCAATATATGCACTATGTAAATTACTTAGCAAAATATTACCACTGTGTAAATCTTGATGAATAATCTTTTAAGAATGAATTATATGAAGATCAAAAGCAATACAGTGCAATATATTTAATTTATACTTCTATTCCATTTCAGCCACAGATAAACAATTTTGATCTAAAAAACCCTTAGACATATATTGAAGAACAAGAATGTAATTTTCAGAGATATCTTTTGTTATTCCATAGCATCTTAAAAATGTGGAGTTTTTAAGACCAATATTGCAATATAATTCTAACTTTTAAATAAATAATAAACAAATAGTTAGATAAAAAGTATTTAAATTTCAAATTATAATAAATAAATTACCTCTTTTTTAAACCTTTCATAATTTTTTCTTGAACCATGAATTAATTTTAGTGCAACAGGATGGTCAATATCATGATTTTTATCATACCTTCTAGCATAATATACAGTTGCAAATCCATCTTGCCCTATTTTTACGATATTTTCAAATTGATTAAAAGAAATTCAAGATAAAAGATATTGGCTTTTAGCTAATATCTCTTTTAAATAATCTTCAATATTTAAATCATTGCATAATTGTCTGTTTTTTGCTATAGAAAATTTAAATATTTGTTTACTTAATTTCAACAATAAATATATATGTTTAATTACCTAATGTTTGTTTCCTTTTCCTAATCGATATCTTGTTATAAATAGATATTAAAAACAAAATAGTAAATTGTATTATAATAACTTACATTTGATACCATTCAACAGCTTTGTTTATATCTTTCTTCACTCCAATTCCATTTCGATAACATTCTCTGATTATTCACATTGCAAGAACAGCTCCCATTTCTACAGAATTTTGTAAATATTTAAATGCTTTATGTTCATCCTTTTCGACTCCATTTCCGTTTAGATAACAGTTACCAAGTGCACATGCTGCAATAGCATTTCCTATTTCAGCAGCTTTTTGATAATAAACGAATGCCTTATATTCATTTCTTTCAACTCTGATTCCTCTATCATAGCAATATTCTGCATTACATATTTCTTCAACGCAGCCTATCTTTGCGGATTCTTGATAATAAATAAATGCTTTATGCACATCCTTTTCACCTCCTTTTCCAGTAAAATAGCAGTGTCCTATTTGATATATCATGGCAGTATTTCCCATTTTTGCAGATTTTTGATAATGAATAAACACATTGTTTTCGTTTCTTTTAACTTCAACTCCATTGCTAAAACAAAGACCTATGTCAAATATACCACAAGCATTGCCCATCTTAGCAAACTTTTGATAATAAACAAACACTTTATATTCATTTTTTTCAACTTCAAGACCTCTCTGATAATAATATCCAACTTGTTTCATTCCAGCAGCATGTCCAATATTTGCAGATTTTTAATAATACTTAAATGATTTATATTTATCTTTTTCGACTTCTTTTCCATGACGATAAAAATTTCCAAGTGCATGTATTGCATTAACATAACCGATATTAGCAGCTTTTTGGCAATAAATGAAGGCTTCATGTTCATTCTTTTCAACCCCAATTCCAAATTTATAATAATAACTGGTCAGGTATATTCCTTCAGCATTAATTATGTTAGCGGCTTTTTGATAATATTCAAATGCTTTGCATTCATTTTTTTCAATTCTGATCCCATATCGATAACATTGACTAACATTAAATGTTCCATCTGCATCACCCATATCTGTGGATTTTTGATAACAAATGAATGACTTACAGTCATTCTTAACTACTCCAATTCCCTTTAAATAACAATATTCTGCTATAAACACCCCTTTAGCAAGAATTGTGTCTGTAAATCTTCAAAAATATTCAAATATTTTTATCCATAATCTAAATATTCTACAAACCTCCATTTTCTTCTTATTGATGTATAACAAAATAAATTAATTAATAAATAAAACAGAATTACATTAACTTACGAATCGCCAATTAATTCATACGTATAGAATCTTGTGATAGCTGCAGATCGTTGATCATCTGTTGGATTTGGTGCAATTATTCTAGTAATCCTTTTAAACATATGTGGATGAAATGTTCATCTGGACCATCCGAATTTAATTAAGGCTGGGCAGCCTCTGCATTCAGTAAATTTACTAAACACAGGACGTATTAATTAGTATAAAAATCGACTATATGCTACTGTTCAATTATTCTGTTTGTCCGACTCTTTACTGGACAACCAATTATCCAACTGCTCATCCAGGTTTAGGGCATTCTTAAGCAGCTCTCTGATAGTACTGTAAACTGTCATATACAAGATCCCCCTATATATCAGACCCACCTTCATTTTTTACTAATAATTTTCTTTTTTTTACTAATTAATTTTTTTAGTGGAATGTAACAGACTCAGGTCTTGTATATGCCAGTTTACAGTAATCGAGATGTCACCCAATCTCTGTGATTAATTGAAGTAATTCTTATAACAATTCTGCTGCGAATTCATAAGGCAAAATACGAATTTAAATTTTAGCCAATTAGAACAACTCCATTAAAAAAATTGGTAGTCGTAGCTTCAAATATTTTTGACTTTAAAGTTCCAATTCAGATAAATTCGCCATCCATTTATCCATATCTGAATTTATCTGAATATCTATTTATTATTGATATCCGAATAAGGATATCTGAATAAATTCAGATCTGAATATCTGATAGATAAATTGATAAATGGATAATGGATTGGAATTCTATTTGAATTACATGATTATCATTATCAAGTAATAGACTATGAATGTAATCTAAAAGCTATCAGGCTTAAAAATTATATACATTAATATAAATTTTATATTTTAATTTAGAATTAAACTATATATAACCCATATACTCACAGTTGTACTAGAAAAAAGATATACTAGCCAATAATTTGTTTAGTATCGATTCATATAAAAAGATAGCTACAACCTTGAAATTAAATTGCTTAAGTTTAGATAGTTTTATCTAAGTTATGAGGGTTTAGTGAAGATCTATAAGCTAGTTCATTAGTTCTTAAATGAGAATCGAAGGTTTTCTACTAATTTTGCATTTATTAATTTCTTCCCAAATCTCTATTGTTAAAGTGATAATTTGATATTACAAGTCAACACTGGCTCTGAAACATATCAATTTAAAAAAATTAACTTGTTAAATCATTACTATATTGCTAAATAAAAATAATTTAAAAAAAATTTAGCTCTCTAAGACCATCTTTTTGTGCACTAACAAATTTGTTACTGATCTAACCTAAAATGCAATTTTTTAAATAGAGTAACAATGTCAGAATGGACCAAAATATAGGTACATATGATAATGATGTAAATAATACCAAAGAAAACCTGATTTTAATAAATAAATTTAAATGCTACTTGATATGTTATTCAACCTGCTATTTGATAATATCATGACTTTACGAACATGCATGCTTGGAGTTTAATGCAAGTCAAATTACAAACATAGTGCAGGTGGTATAGTGATAATCATTAATCAATTTTTTTATAATTAATGGTGGCATAGTGTAAATAGTAAAAACATGTAAATTTTAAATTGCAATAACTCTTGAACCAACAAACCTATACAAGTAAAATTATATTTGTCAGATTCATTTTAACATGCTCTTTAAAGTAATAACGTATTTTTTTGTATTTATTATTGTTTGGAACATAGCAGAGGACTCAATTTCTATACAAAATGGTCGTTTTTGATATATTTTTAATAAAAACAAAAAAACGCGACTTTGAATTTTTTGTCAATCATTGCATAATACAATACAAAATTTAAAGATACACTTTAGATGCTTTTATTAAAAATTCATCAAAAATGACTATTTTGTATAGAAATTGAGTTCTTTGCTATGTTCTAAACAATAAGAATAAATACAACAAAGGCATTATTACTTTAAAGAGCATGTTGAAATGAATCTGACAAATATAATTTTACTTGTATAGGTCTGGTTCAAGAGTTATTGCAATTTAAAATTTATATGTTTTTACTATTTATGCTACCATTAATTATAAAAAAATTGATTAATGATTACTTGTACTATGTTTGTAATTAGACTTGCATTAGACCTCCAATGCATGCTGCAAAGTCATATGATATTATCGAATGGCAGGTTGAATAACATATTGAGTGGCATTCGAATTATACTATTTTACAAAAATTTTTAATTGTTGCCAATATAACAACCTAAATAACATTGTAGAAATCACTTTTTTGGGAGAATTAATAAATGCATCAATAGCCTTAAATAACCTTGCATAAATCACTTTTTTGGAGAAATTAGTATGCATTAATTGTTTTGAATACCCTTGCATAAATCACATTTCTGCATAATAAGTTCTTGTACTTGAACTATTTTATGCTATAGAATTATATGACTTCAACTCTTTGTAGAACTATACCTGATTGTGCCCATCCATAAAGAACTTAATAATCATAAACCTGAATGGTTTAGTTCAGAATGTTTTTTACCACATAAAGCAAGATGTTAAAGAAAGAATAAATACCCAAAACCTGTAGTAATTGCATATTTATAAGATGTGATCAATCTGACAGAGAGTCAGGTTTACACTTGGAGTCTATAATTTAAAAGCAAATAACTCGGTTATATAATCAGATTTAAACTACAATAAAAAAAACGAAACTTATTGTTGAAAAGATTATTGAATTGCTGCATTGTGAATTGTATATAATTGATTGCATCAATGGCATCTGAATGCAACTTTATGTACAGTAGTAATGCAGTATATTGTAAATTCATTTGCTGTCAAATACTGAACAAATCCTAAAATATTAATTGCTAAACAATAACAGTTTTAAATTAGTGCTATTGTGTATTGTTCCTTCATCTAAAAATAAAAAATAGCATATGAAAAGAAAATTTACAAAGAGCATCGTATAAGTGTCATTAAGGAAAAACCTATAAGCAAACTTGCAAGTTTTTCCTTGACAATACTCATATCAAACATATACGTATATATTGCATCTCAATTAGTGTTCGATATAACATAGATAATCCAAATAAGATCACAAAGAACTAATAAATTGTAACTTAAAATTCTTCTTAAATTGCAAGAAATATATTTCCTGTAATGCATTTTTTTTCTTTACCAAATTTTCATTCTTTTTTAATCTGAGTAAAATTATCTTAATTTAAAGACTTCAATTAAAATATAACAATGTTAGATATTGAGCCTGAAGCTTCACAATCAGATGATTTACTAGAAATAGATGAAATGTTAGAAAATAATTCTTAGCTTGAAGGTTCCCAAACCATGTCAAAAAATACTTAAAGACATAAGCATCATTGTAAATTAACTAAACCACCTGCAAAATGCTGGAAATATTTTGAAATAGAAGAAGAAGATTCAATATGTAAAGTTAAAATTAAAAAACCTAATGAAGAAGAACAAATTTGTGAAAAATCATATAAATACCTTCCTGGAGGGTCAATGACCAACATGAATTCACATCTTGCAGACGAACATGACCTAGAAGATTTTCAAAAAAAACAGGTAAATAATAAAGTCATGCTTTGTCTATAAAGAGAATTTTCTATATATACACTAATGTATGAAACATTGGTACATATTATAACTTAAAATTTTAAAATAAAACTGCATTGAGGTTTTTTATAAAAAAATTTTTTATCTGAAATTTAGTATAAATTATACCCTAACCCAAACCTTAAACTCTAACCTTAAACT